CAGACAGGAGACAGGAAATGGTCTCACAACAGACCGGAAACACACCATGTCCACAAGCCGTTTCCTATTTATCTCTGTGTGTGTCTTTGTGTGTGTGTGTGTCTGTGTTTGTGTGTGTGTTTGTGTGTGTGTGTGTGTAAAGAGGGACACACAGGGCAGGAAACAGCTCCCTCATTAATCGTGGCTGAAATTTGGATCAGAGTTTTTGTTGTTGCCGTCCTGTGATGAAGTGTGTGTATATGTGTGTGTGTGAGAGAGAAAGTGTGTGTGAGAGATTGTGAGTTTCTGTGTGTGTAGGTGTGGGTAATGAATCAGCCACAACCTCGAGCTTTCATTTTTAGTTCAGTGTTTGTGTATTCTTCAGTGTGTTTATCAGTCCGACCTGAAAGAAATATTTATTTTCAAATCTTAAGTACGTTTACTTCTCAATCACCTAAAATGTCAGAAAAAGCAGGATGGAGCCCTCGGATCTCATTCTGGTGGTGAAAAACTTTTTGGTGATTTATTTCTTCTGCAAAATCTGAAGTTGTGTGTGTGACCTAGTGGGAAAATTCTTCCTAAGACGCTCAGAACTACCCACCTCTGTTCACTTTAGCTGTAGCTACATGTGCTACTTCACAGTTTAACCCTTTAAAGCCTGATCCAAGAATAAAACAAAACAGAAAATTACTTTTTTTTGTTTTAAGTCTTTATTTGGCCTTTTAACTAAATATGTCAAAAGAAAAAACAGAAATATATTTAATATTAATAACTTATTACTATGCGATAAGTCAACATTATTTTTCGTGTAGTCTTCTGCCCCCTGTTATCAGGTGTATCTGATTGTGTACAATAGGATTTTGAGCAAAGTTTTTACCATTAAATTAAGCAAAAGGTGTCGGACGCAAAACATTTCAGAAACCGTACGTATCAGATATGATACATTTGGCATTATAGGGTTAAAGCCGTGTAAATGTTAAGAGCTGGTTTCATTGGGAGGAAAGCTAAAGACAGACATGAGCCCGGCCAGCCTGTTATGAATTTTCTTTTACTCATTTAACTTAAATGCACTGTACTCGTTTAACCTAAATACACTTGGAATTTTTGCCCTTTGGTTAGGCCGTGTTGTAGGAATGGAGCTGCAGTCTGAAAGCTCCCCGGGGAGGTTCCCACGGCCGGGAGGAATTTGTGGAAGGCCTAAATGTCTGTTTAAAGGGTTCACAGTAATTAAAAGCTCTCTGTGTGTAAGTCGTGCTACGGTAAATGACAAGCTCCATCTCTAGTGGTCCACCGTGAAATGTCAGGCTTTCACCGAATGATTAAGGTGGTGAGTAGGATCTAATTCTCCTCATTCACCCCAGTGGGGCAGAAATACCCCTTTTTTTTGGTAAGGCTTTATTGTTTTTGTTTTCAATCTTTATTAGGACCATCTAAGAACATCTAAGAACATGATTGACCTTTGTACTAGTCTCTTCATGCGTAGTGATCTCGTTTTTACCAGCATTTATCAAAATATCAAATAGATATTCATCAGTTTTCCTGACCTGTAAATAAAAATGTTCTTAAAAATAATGTTGAAAACTGCATAGATAGATTAGTGTTAAATAGACTTATACTTAGACTTGGACTTGGACTTCCTTTATTGTCATTGCACAAAAAAAACAAGGCGAATCTTGACAACAAAATGTCGTTACTAGACACTTAATACTTTATGGAGCTCTTTTCCAGAAGGGTTTAACCACTGGGCATTCCCTAAAGATATGCCAGAAATTGGCTTCCCAGCTTCCCCTCCAGTAAAATGTGTCTTTTTGTTTTGGTAAAATAAAGAAACAGATCATACACTTCCAACCAAATCATGACTGAGAGAGGTGAGCCTATAGTAAACAACAGTGTTTACTATTTAGAACATTTGGAAATGGAGATTTTTTTAAAATATCTGCTCTTTCTGACGGCTAAACTAGTCGAATGTCAACAGTGTTTACTCTTTAGAACATTTGGAAATAGATATTTTTTTATTAGCTGCTCTTTCTGACGACTAAGCTAATCAAATGGACAGTGTTTACTCTTTAGAACATTTGGAAATAGAGGTGTTTTTTTTTAATTAGCTGCTCTTTCTGACGGCTAAGCTAGTCAAATCTCAATAGTGTTTACTCTTTAGAACATTTGGAAATAGAGATGTTTTTTATTAGCTGCTCTTTCTGACGGCTAAACTAGTCAAATGTCAGTAGTGTTTACTCTTTAGAACATTTGGAAATAGAGATGTTTTTTTTATTAGCTGCTCTTTCTGACTGCTAAGCTAGTCAAATGTCAACAGTGTTTACTCTTTAGAACATTTGGAAATGGAGATTTTGTTTTTATTAGCTGCTCTTTCTGACGGCTAAGCTAATAAAATGAAGACAGCTCTGAATCATGGAGGGAGAAGGGTGGTCCCTAGAGGAAAGCAGGTTAGTTGTTGATCTCATGTCCTCCCCAATATCCGATTTTATTGATCTTTCTGTCATCTCCGGGACTGATGCTGCTCCCCTTTCTCAGCCCAGTAACACTCTCCATTATTGGCTGGTTTGAAGAGCTCCAGCCTTTGTCTGCACACATTAAAGCAGGGATGTCAAAGTCAAACACACCGAGGGCCAAAAAAACAAATTTGCTACAAGCCGAGGGCCGGACTGGTTCAATGTTTATTAAAACATATCGAAACGATTGCACATAGCCTATTGAACCAAGATCTAACACAGTGTATTCACACATATTCCCAATGGTTAAACGAATATGGCAATATTTTATTATGGCTCTGTCGGTAACTTCAAGGGAAAACATTTTCAACTGCCAAACAGCAAAAAATTAAATTGTTTTTAAAAACAAAATTTGTTTCCTAATATCAGGATAAATGCATAAATAAAAGTGCATGCATTATAAACTGAAAATGTATTGTGCAAAAAGTCGATCTCTGCTATGAATGAATGAAGCCGTTTGTGCGCAAGTGACTTTGCGGGATAACGTTGCATTGTGGGAAATGTAGTGTTGGTGCGTGCAAAACACCAGTGGGCGGCTGTGGCCTGCGGGCCGGTTCTAATAATAATTAAATATCATCCAGGGGGCCATAGATAATCAATTTGAGTCCCTACTCAGTTATTTTTGCACATCCTTTAGGGGCCGGCTCCACCTAAGAGTTACAATTTTAGCACCCACTCGACCGTGTTTCTAAGGAAACTGAAGGCTCCTGATTGGCCGAGGAGTCACATGATTCGATAGTGAGTCCTTCAGGAGAAACTCAGCTATTTAACTCATTGACTTCCAAAGACGTCTATAGACGTCTTTTATGTTTTTCCACGAGAGTGGCTGGGGGACGATCTGCTAAAGCTTGTCCGTAAATATCGGCTTCTAGACAGAGTATGTAGTAACAAATTGACCCTCTAGGGGGCAGTGCCACTTTTGATGGGAGATGAGCATAGACTGTAGGCAAATAAGAAAAAGCTAACGGTTCTATGAGAGAACATGTCGCCGGTGAGACGCAAGTCGAGGAAGAACGGAATAAAGTAGAAACAACTTTTTTTTTCCTGATGAAAGAAGAGAGTCTACTCTTTCTTTTGGTGTGTTCGATGTTTACATAGTCATAGCACAAACTATTCTGTGGCTCTTGAAAAATCTGTCAAAATGCTCAAAAAAACTCTGACAGTATGGGACTCTCTGTTCTGAAAATGGCTAGCAGTCAATGAGTTAAAAAAAGCGACAAAAAAAAAAAAAAAAACTGACAGAATTATCACATTTTTGTGCTCATCCACACTGGTAATGTCACATGACCAGCACCCTGATCCAACACGAGGCTCAGCATTTACATAAAACCCCATAAAAATGGCCTTTCAAGGGGTTTTTCTCCCTCAGAGCCTTGTTTTTAACAGAAAACAACCTAAACTGATAACGAACCCCCCAAACTAAAGTCTCCCCATTCTGTCGTTTCAGCGCCAAGCGTCCGGTGGGAATGTCCAGCATCCTGAATCGCATCGGAGGAAAGAAACAGAAAATGAGCACGCTGGAGAAGTCGAAGATGGACTGGGACGCCTTTAAGTCGGAGGAGGGAATCACGGAGGAGCTGGCCATCCACAACAGAGGCAGAGAGGGGTGAGACACTCCAAATGTGACCAAATGATGGAAAACAAGACTCCGGAAAACAGAATTTAATCCAAATCTCAATCCCAAGACTTTTTCTGTCCGATTTAGAACGGATTAGTGGACTAGTATATATACAGGACTGTCTCAGAAAATTAGAATATTGTGATAAAGTTCTTTATTTTCTGTAATGCAATTAAAAATCATGAAATGTCATACATTCTGGATTCATTACAAATCAACTGAAATATCGCAAGCCTTTTATTGTTTTAATATCGCTGATTATGGC